CATATTGCTCTTCAAATTGGTCATCGACTACAATAAAACGGAAATCAAATGAAAACAAAACAAAAAAAAAAAAAAGAATCGCCGGGTCAAGATTTTATGGCGTTAACAAATTGGTTTTTATAACACAATTTTCATTGAGAACCACACAATAATACTCGTCATTTGCTTTTTTTATACGATTTTTTTTTTGCTTTTTTTCTACTGAAATTTAATATGTGGAAGAGGGAATATCAAGGGAAATATTCATATTAAAATTTATTAATAAGAATTTTGTACAAAATGTTCAAAGACTCTGGCATTGGCTAATATCTAGCGGATGAGCTTTTCATTGTGTGAAAGGGATAATGTCCTTTTTTTATCAAACGATTATGTTGTATATTGATCTAATGATTGCCCGAAATTGCTAGTTTCTCGCTTGAGCCTGGCCTTATCTAGGGAGCCAAGGTTTCCGCCATAGTGAGCGTAAATCAGTTCACCTGGACCTGGGCCTCCCTTTCCTCTAGGAGCTCCCGCTTGGCAGCAAGGAGAGGTAGTTCTCCTGCCGCAGCTTCTGCTGCCACTCATGCTAATGCTCCTCGGCCATTGACTAAATCAGGATCCTAACACAAATAACTATTTTTTTTACCTAAAAATCTACTTTTTTCATCTATTGTTATATCACCTTCTTAAATAGTTTTATCAAAATACTTATTTCTCAAGTCTCAAGTTCAGACTTCATAAATTTAATATTTTAAATGGCTTTCATTTCGTCTTAGGCCACTGCATTTAATCGGACTGTGTGCCATTGCCATTTTCGACAGCTCTCCTCCGGGCTGTGTGCTTTTTCTATTATAAATAACAAATCCCTAAATACGCCACTCAAAATTCAATTAAAACTCTCGAAGCACAAGTGCCGGCAGATTTCGTGAGCCCCACACAGCCACAAATCCATTTGGGGGAGTCTGTGTGTGGGGGCGTTGGGAATATGATGCTGCCCGGGGGATAATAACAAAAAACCTCCTATTCCATCAGCTCGCGAAGACAACGGCAATTGAGTGGCTCTGGGTGTTTTATTTTTCTTTTTTGTATTCTTTTAGATTTTTGAATTGTGCTATTTTCTTTTTGGCAAATATTTATCAACTGTGCCGAGAGGTAAGTCGTTGCTTGGGCAAAAAAAAATGCCCTGGGCAGCGTTCTCGATGGCACTTAGCATAAATTCAGGCAGTCTTTGTTCTCTATTATCACCAGTATACAAAATTATAATCGAAATGACAAAAAAAAAGACCACGTTTAAGTCCGGCGCAATGACTGCTCAAACTGTGCCAACTTTCTGTACCCCAAAAGTGGAAAAGGAAAATTGGCAAGCTTCGGTTCTGGGCATAAGGAAGGCTGCGGACTAGTTTTTGAAAGCTATGTATTTCAGATCCGACAGTTGCACATGTCTGCAGTGGCAAACAAATGTCATTAGGGGAGGTCGCAAGCAAAAGAAACCTGATTGTTGGCTTTGTATAGCGATGGCAACGTGATGTGGTTCAAGGATTTCGTATAGTTTAGTTGAAAATTAATTTAAAATAAATTAGAAATTTCATAAAATAATCTAAAATATGCAAAGATTTGTTTACCTTGCTTAAAGCAAATCAAAATCGAGAATAATATGATGAACCCCAGACCTTTGAATTCCTAGGACATTTATAGTTAAGCATCTCAATCATTATTATACCCTCTTTGGGCTATCGTTTAAGCTTTTTATTCCTATTATGGTATGTTTTTTCAAAATTTCAATTATAAGATACAATTACTCCATTAAAGAAAAATATATATTTTCTTGAGGTTCGGTAAATTTTAAATAAATTTTAGTACATGGCTTTGGGTAATCCTTTAACGGTCTTATACTTTTCTCAGTCTGAAAATTATTTACCCCTTGTGGGCCCCATCGCTAGCTACTCGGTTGGCCTGGCCAGTTGCCGGCGTTGTTTGAGCCATTGCGAGCAGCTGTTTCCCCTGCTGGTTTTTTGTGGGCCTGTTAAGTATGCAGTTTTTCCACCAACCAACAGCATCCCGCCCCGGGTCCACTGTGTGCGTGTTAAATGTGTGCGATTTGTCGTGGTAGCTCTTTAATGGCCACTGCCGGAGGGGGGTCCTCAGTCCTCAGTCCTTGGTCCCCAGATCCCGCATCTCGATCCTCGTAGGGGGTGATGTGGTCCCCGTTATGCTTATAGCTTTTGCTTGGCGGCACGTGTGGGGCATGCAGATGGTCGGTCGCTGGTGGGTTGAATTTCGGGGGTCATTCCATCGTTTCCATCCATCCCGGACCACCGCAAAACTAAAATTGAACAAATTCCTGACAAATTGGAATTTGGTTTAGTTTTTTTTTTCCCCTGGTTTCCTCTGCTTTCTCGGCCATTTCTTGTGCCAGCGAAATTTGCTCACATTTTTCTTGTTTGCTTTTTTCCCGCAGTTTTTTTGTGTGCTCGTTGCTATTGTTTCTACAACATTTCCACGCAAGATTTCGTCTCAAATATGCGCTTGGCCATTATGATTATTTCTACGTTGCGTTCGCCGACCCCTAGCTCCTCCTCGACCAGTCGTCCTGTTGAAAAATGGCACTTTACAACACTTGTAATTTGTTCTCTTGTCCTGGTGTTTTTGGTCTGCGATGTTCAAATGTCTGGGAGTGAGCAGGAGGATACCCAGTGGAGTACAAGTGTATATTGTTGACCGAAGTGGCTTGAGACAACAAAATTTCATATTTTTTGAGTAATTTTATAATATTTCTATAAATGATTTTACCCTCTAATGATGTATAAATAAGATTTGAATGTGAACAGTGCATTCTTTGCACTAAGCCGGTCACTATAAAGGGTATCTAATAGTCTACAGTCGTTAATAATATTCTTTATTTCCATTGTGGGCTTGAGAAGGGGGAGAGGAAGTGCAAATTGTGGGTGCCATTGTGATTTGTTGCTGGCAATGATGACGTGGGCGTGTTTGCCAATTTAGTGCGATTTCTATAGATGACTCTTCGAATTTAGATTATTCAAAGAATTGTTTTTATATTTTACAGTTTAAAATAAAAATTTTATATATCATTTAACTTTTTTACATTGTACTTTCTTTAAGAAAGTAAAATAAATAAAAAATGTTATTTAAAGCCTTATAATTTTGAATTGAAAATGATTCCTAAATACAATCCGTTTATTTAAACATTTAAATCTCTTTGCAAAAATCAAACCACCCACTTTTATTAGTTAATTCTGCTAATAAACAAAACTATGGCATAAATTAAATGAATCTTTTGGTTACTGTCACAAGGACCACCCATCCAGGTAACCGCAATGTAATCAGCATGCAAAACAATCGCCACTCAGAACCGAATTTCCAACCACACAAACCAAATGTTTATTATTCAGCATTCAAATTAAATGTATTATTTATAGATTTTGGATAATTACAAAAAGTCACTGCCAAAAATATGGGAAAACTACCAATTTAAATAAAATGAAATGCTTGAAATCAAGAAGAGTTACCAGTTTTTGTGGTTATTTACTGACTAACTCGCCAAAGAGGGGGGAGCAGGCAGTGAAATTAGTGAAATGAATTAAGTTGCCAACATTTATGCATGTCAAAACCGAAAATTGATTGTTAGCTTATAATTTTTTTATATACATATAAACATAAATTGTAAAAGGGAAGTAATTTGTCAAATTTAGTAATGGCTTAATATATAAACAATTACAAATTACTATGTACATTTGAGCACTTACAATGCCATCATGATGGCAAAAAATCAATTCTTATTAATTGGCTATTCATAGTGCAATGTTAATTTAAACATTTCCATCACAGTCACGCTTTAAGCGCTTATGGAAACTGCCTTCTCTCGCTCCATCTCCCTCTGAATGTGATCACATTTTGCTAATTAAAATACTATCTAGATTTTCTTGGTTCAACTTTGCTTTTCCTAGCCCATCGATCGATAAGCCTTAATGAAATGGAAAATTACAAAAAATCCAAGAAAAAACGAAATGGGACTGTAGAGTTTCCGGCAAACTGTGGCAAAAAGATGGCCCAAGTCGGGAATGGAGCTGTAGGAATGGAGCAACACGTTGTGACCGTTATTATGAACAGACAAGGGGCATTATTAAGTCACGTAGCAGCGTGTGTAGCTGACATTTTCTTCAATTATCGTACTTATAGTTTCCTTTCGCGTTTTGTTGACTACTTTCCGAGTCGACTTTTTCTTCTTGGCCTCCTGCTGCCCTTCTGTTTGCTTGCCGCCTTTCGGGTTAAATGAATTGTGGTCGGGATACGTGGTAAGGTCAACTTGATGGCTCTGCTGAAGATGGTACTTTAAAGCGTTTCACCAACAGGACACTTGAAGAAAAAAACAGACATGGTTACGACCATGTTGGGGGTACTATAATTTTAGGGAAATATTTGTTTACATTTCTTCTTTTCAGGTTAAGAATGTGACCTACCCTAAGAGCACATTTTAAAGGTAAATAAGTACATCCAGTACAATCATCTCGGTACCTATCTCAGACCTCAATCGGAAGTCCAATATCTATTGATTATTGATCATCGATCATTTATATTTTGAAAGCATTTTAGATGAAACAAGTGTTATTGCAGTTGTTAAAGGATATTGATGATAGATTTCAATTCTGGGTATATTATTAAAGCTTAAATAAATTAACATATATTTTTGTTTCATACATTTTATAAGTAATAACTTTTTCAACAGTAAAACCTAAAATAAATGGGTCTTAAAATATTTCTACGACTACTAAACTAGTCTTACTATATCAATGTAAGTAATTGAATTAACGATGATGATTTAATAACTAACGAAAGAAATTTCTACATAATAATGTGGGTAGAATGATCTCTATATCTATCTATAATGTTTTTAAATATATGTATATACCTTTTATCTGCTGTTTCTATTTACATAACTCATTTTCAGACCCAAGTATGTAAGTTTTAATAAACAAATTTGAACAAACACACACTCAGACAGCCAAGTTCAAGTTGACAAGACGATTTCGATATATATAGTATTTGTATTTCTAAGTGATTGGCAACCATTCGAATTTTGGGCACGCGCCGGTTATAAAGCTAATAAACAGTCTGCACCAAAACAGACTTCATGGCTGCCTTAGTCAGTGAGTGACGGTCGCGCTGTGAGTGCGGATCGTGTAAGCGGGTTGGATTTGAAAAGTGAAACCTCGGCCGTTGCAAAGCTAATCAGACAGATTCTCGATAGACAGTTTGTAAAAATTCCAAAACAAAATGCTTTTCCTCACCACCCGGGTGGAGCACACGGCCGAGCAGATCTTCAAAATCAAACAACTCAGGCAGCTGGTGGAGAGTAAGCAATTGTGTGCCAGATCTCAGATCCCTACAACTCAGGATCAACTGTTTCAGAGTGCGACGAGCTACGAGTGGGCACGGAGGACACGCTGCTGACCAAGTTCCTGCACTATACGCACTGGGACACTATCAAGGCCTACCAGGCGATCCATGCCTACTACGAGTTCAAGAGACGTCACCCAACCTGGGTGGCTAGGCACCCCATCGAGCATTACCGCCAGCTCTTCTACGGCACCCACTGCCGCTATGTGATGCCACACGTGGATCGCAACGGACGAGTGCTGGTGGTCTTCAAGACAGTGGACGGATTTCAGGACTACCCAGACTACTTGCAAAGCCTTGTGGAGATTGACGATTTGATCTTCGAGTCGCTGCTGCTCCTGCCGCGCGTCCAGGAGAACGGTATAACGGTCATCTGTGACCTACAAGGGTGCGTCTATATGTAAAACATAGGGAACTCATTTACTCTAAGTTTTAGGGTATCTTGTTATATTACAGATATTTTTTATTTTTTAAATTACTTCCTCACACAAAACAGAACAACCAGGAATTTTCTGCGACAGTTTTCGCCATCCTTTATGAAGGTGGTGAATGAAAAAAACGGAGTCCTGCCCTTCAGTCAACGCATCGTTCACATCATACAGCGCGGCTTCCTCATGCACATCACCTCCACGCTCTTTATGCCCTTTATGAACAAGGAGTTCAAGGAAAGGGTAGGCAATTTGAACCAAAACTTGATAGAAATTAATATTTTTATTTATTTTTTTTTTAAGATATTCACCCACGACGGACGACATCTCAGCAAGCTGCGCGAAATGGTGGGCTACGACTGCCTGCCAGCGGAATACGGCGGTCCTGCGGAAAATGTTTTGGACACGAATTTAATCTTTAACCACTTGAGCCAAAATGCAAAGTACTTGGAAAAGCTGCAGGAGTATGAGAAGCTATAAAGTATTACAATTTACGGTAAAAATATATAAAACAGCTGGGAGAAATAAAAATGGAAAATATTAAAAAAAAATTAATTCGTTTTTTTTACAAAAATATAAATTTTTGGCGACACCCAGGATTTTATATATATTAAAAAGCAATTATTTTTTATTAATTGTAAAATCTATTCAAATTTAACGGTTAGAGTGTTGCCAGGCAATACTGTTGGCAGTTGGCAACGCGAGGTCAGCATGACCATTCGTGAATGGTATTTACCACTTTCCGTTCAAAGGTCATACTGTTGTGAAATTTCTGCGCCGGTCGCAATTCAAATCACAATATTTCCCCAAATAAACTAATTGATGGCTTCTAACAAGGTAAATATAGTACATATTTGTTTTCTTTAGAAAGCTTAAAATCTGTTGTTCCCTAGGAGTGCCTAATTATTGTGCTAGATGTGCGCAACTGTGCCGCCGAGGATGTAAAACTAAAATCTGTGAAATGTGCGTCGGAGATTATCAAGGAAAAGGTGTGTAAGCTCCATCTATAGCTTCCTTTACGGTGCTAATTTCTGTTATCCCAGATTGTGTGCGACAAGAAGGATCTAGTATCCTTTGTGCTGGTGGGCTGCGATAGCCGTGAGAAAGATTTGAAGGCGCCAAATGTGGTGCAATATGAGAAAATCCAACTGTGCACTTGGAATCTTCTCCTAGATTTTTTCAAGTTTGTAAACAAAACAGCGTGTGAGGAGGGACAGTGGCTGGATGGACTGAAAGTGGCCTTAAAGCTGCAAGAAGAGGCTTTGGTGTGAGTGAAACAATTCAGGACATGGTCAAGTCCACCTTATTGAAAAACCGTTCCATGCAGATTTAAGCCCGCCAGACGGAGGATCCTTTTGCTCTTCGATTTCAATTCCTTTCCGCAGGACTACGCGAAGTTCAACACAATCACCGACACACTGTTCAACGCCGATATTGAATTGATTGTGGGGTATGTAGCTCGATAGCCACCGCTGTATGTAGTCCTTCTATATATGTACGCCCCACAGCACCCACAACATATCGTACATAGACGGCGCCGAGAGCGGTCAGCCTCAGGCCATTTTCAATTTCTCGCGTAAGTGCAGCCCGGTGGAGCTGGAGAACCAGAAGTACGCTCTCAGCCTCGTGTCCCGCTGCAACGCCACACTGTGCAACTTCAAGGAGGCCCTGCGCACCGTCTTCAAGGTGACCAACAGGCGACCCTGGTCGTGGAATGCCAAGCTGCATATTGGCAGCAAGATCAGCATTAACCTGCAGGGCGTGATCGCCATGAAGAACCAGACGTCCGTAAAGCTAAAAAAGGTCTGGGGGGAGGACAACGAGGTGGTCTCCCGCGAGACACGGCATTTCATCAAGGGCACTGAGGTGACGCCGAAGCCGGAGGATTTGGTAACCGGTTACATGCTGGGCGGGACCCCGGTGCCCTATGACGACGCCCTACTGGAACCAAAAGAGCCCCATCCGCCGGGCCTGCACTTCTTCGGATTTATCAAGCGCGACGCTGTCCCGGATGAGTACTTTTGCGGAGATTCCTTGTACCTGTTGGTACACCAAAAGGGGAACACTGCCTCTGCCAACAAACTGGACGCTCTGGTACGCGCCTTGATTGCCTCGGATCGGGCTATTCTTTGCTGGAAAATCTACAGCTCCAAGTTTAATACTCCGCGGATGGTGGTGCTTCTGCCCCGTTTGGCGGACGACTCTAATCCGGCCACACTCAACATGCTGGAGGTGTCCTACACGGCCCAGCATCACTTTTGGGACTTCCCAGCTCTGCGAACCGCCAAATCGGAGAGCAGTGAGGAGCAGCTTCAGGCCATCGACCGGCTGATCGACAGCACGGATCTGGAGTGCTCACTGCGAGACACGCAGCAGCCGCGGTCATGGCCCCAGAACGATCTGCTGCCATTCGACGGGCTGCCCAGCATCTTTGAGCAAAACGTGATGGACATCCTGGAGTGGAAAGTGATCAAGAAGGAGGACGATCAATCGAGCAAGAAGGAGGACGATCAATCGAGCAAGAAGAAGGACGATCAATCGAGCAAGAAGAAGGACGATCAAGCTAAGAAGGATGCCGACATGTTCGCTCAGATGGTGAAGGACAAGAAATTTTCAGATGTATTTTGGCGAGTCCCTGAGCCGCTGGAGGAGAAGTCCAAGCAGGCGGCAGCTACCGTGAAGAAGCTCTTCCCCATGCGCTACAGTCGCGAATGGCTAGAGAAGCTTAAGGCCAAGGAGCAGGCTGAAAACGGAGAGGCCGTTAAACAGGAACCACCAGAGAAGGAGATCCCCATGCCCAGCGACGGTGTGGGTTTGTCTAATCCCGTTCAGGACTTTACCCGCATTCTGGCCAGCGTTCGCTCCATCACAAATGCCACCCAGAAGGATGCTCGCTTCCAGGCCCTTGCCGCCCAGGTGCGTGTTCTCGTTTTCACTCTACTGGAACGTAAGAAACTCAATAGCAAAGAGCTGGGCGAGCTTATTAGTCTGTACCGAGAGAGCTGCGTGGACTTCAATGCGTTCCTCGAGTACGAAAAGTTTGCAGACGAGCTTAAGGTCGCTGTGCGGGCAAAGAACCTCAAGGAGTTCTGGCAGATGGTCGTCATGGACAAGCAGTTGGGTCCGCTGGTGCTAGGCGAACCCACGCTGGACGATGAATTGGCTCTAAAAGCGTACTATGGCATCGACAATTGGAGAGAAGAGATGGAAGTTGAGTAAGATGTTGTGGAGACGGACTCCTAGTATCTTAAGAACAACATTTCTATTAATATAACATACATGAAATCATTCCTTGTTTTTAATTTAAAATAAAATTTGTTGAAAATGAAAAACTTTCATCTGTAATTAAAACTTTTAATTTAAAAGTGAAAACTTTTTTTGGTTTGTTTAATTTTTTTAGCAAAATCCCATTTTAATTTCTTCTAAAAACTTGTAAATATTTGGTTTATTAAAATTATTCTCGTAAAATTATATTAATTATTATTTTGCCACGCAAACACTTAAATGGTCCCATAGTGCACAGCTATTTTTAAGGTTTTAAGTTGCTGCTTGACTCTGGTCACACTGCCAGAACAGGGGCACTCTACTCATCAGCTGCATCTTTCGGCAACATTCGAATTATAAACAATTTTCGTGGAAACAAGAACTTTACCTTGAGTTTGGCTATTTGACACTCCAGTTATGGGCATTCCCAAGAACGAATGGCTCTACTGGTGCCGGCTGTGCGCCCGCGACGATGGCCGCATTAAGGTGCGGGACCAGGACATGGTTTCCATTATAAGCAAGTGTTTTGATGTGGAGGTAAGCCGCCTAATCCCTACTTAACGTTGCCGGTTATTGATACCTGATCCTGGCTTGACGCAGATGACCTTTGAGGAGCCAGAACTGGGCAGTATGCTGTGCGAGGAGTGCTTCTCGGTTATTAAACAGCTTGTCACCTTTTCGGACAGCGTCAACAAGGTACAGGCCATCTTTGAGCTGCTGCGCCACTCGGAGCCAGATGATAATGTGGATGTCGAAGCTCTGCGCCAAGAATACGGGCTATCGTCTACATCCAGCAAACCCGATCGGGATCAGGAATACCAAGATGACTTCAGCTCGGATGACGACGAGCGGATATCCCCGGACATAAAGATTGAGCTCAGCTGGACCGAACCAGAAGCGGAAGAAGAACAGTATGATGATATGGATGAGAAGGTCGTGCATTCGCCTCAACCTGTAAAACGGAAACGTGGCCGGCCAAAGGGTGTTGGAAACCCACGCCGAAAGGTGGCCAAGAGGAAAGATACAGCGACCTTGGAACAATCTGATTTGGAAGCCACAGCAATGCCATCTTCACCAACAGGCGGCCCCTATATTAGCAACAGATATGCCTGCGAGCAGTGCAACGAATCCTTCATTTCCAACGTGGCCCTGCGAACGCACAAGCACGAGATGCACGGCGCTCCCAAGCGATTCGTTTGCGACTGCTGTGGCAAAGGACTGAAGACCTCCACCTTGCTGGCGGAACACAAGCTGGTGCACACGGATGCCAAGCCCTGCAAATGTACGGTATGCGATGCTGCATTCAAGAACAAGGCCAGACTTCGGGTAGGTCTCCTCCCAGACAAGTTATTCCTTCAATATCAAATGAATTTTCTCTCTAGGTGCACCTTGAGACGCATGGAGAGCCCAGATTTAAATGCAAAATTTGCGGTAAGATGCTGCAGACCCGTGCCATTCTCAACAAACACAAGTACGTGCATATGGATGAGCGAAGGTTCACGTGCGAAATTTGCGGTTCGGGCTGCAAGAATTCCACAGCCCTGAAGCTACATCTGCTCAGCCACACGGGTCTACGGCCGTATGTCTGCAAATACTGCGGCAAGGGATTCACTAACAACCTCAACTGTCGCTCACATAAGTTGAAAAAGCATCCAGACGAGGCGTATATGGAGGATGAAAGCGAATCATCGCGCGTACCTGTGCCTACGCTGGAGGAACTGCGGGCCATGTAAGTCAAAGTTTTTACACATAAGCGGGGGTATCCGAAAAATGTCTGCTAAAGATATTCAAAACGGACAAAGATTTGGACTTTTCGCATTAGTTTTGCTAGTTTCGCGAGGAATATCGCGAATTCTCAGCATTTTAACTGTTAATGATGTCGTAAAAGGTCCGCAATTGAAAGCTTTTCGGGTTGAAATCGGGTGACAGACATTTTTTCGAACTGTATAGATATTCTATTATTAAAATCTATATATTTTGATATTTAAAAATTTAATATTTCCTTAACTTTCAGAACTCGTGAAATGGCAAAATCCAGCAAAGAGGAAGGTTAGTAGGCTCCATGTACCCTAATTCTAAACTTTTATTTTATATTTCTGAAAGGTCTATAATTTCTACAATTAAAACAAACAAAAAAGAAACAACATTTGATCTCTACTTTCCTTTAATAGCATCCGAATTCTTAGTTAAGATCATGTTTTATAGACAAACTTAAAGTACTTATCTGTAACTCCCTTTACAACACACTTGTCCATGATTAATAAACAAGTTGTCTTCGAGTTTTCCAATTACGTTTTGTTTTAATTAATTTCAAAATACATTTACATTTTTTTCAATGCACACAAAAATGGGGAATGAACGTACGATTGATTGTAAAAATAGCAAATGTAAGAACTGGATGAAAACCACGCAATTAGGATATAAATAATTTAACAAGAGAAAAGGCTTAAGGAGAAATAAAAAACAGTTTACAAGTAAATCAATGAATGAGTGAGTCTGTGTGTAGGTTAATTATTTAAATATGTTTTCATAATCCTTTTTTTTCAAGTTTTTGTTAAGTTTAACACGTTGAGAAGCAAAAAACTTTTGGCATAACCTTCCTCCAGACAGTACAGGATCCACTGGTTCCCTCTTAATCAATGTTCAACGAGGACATCAGCTCCTCCACACTGCGTTAGAAATAAAGGAAAAAGAAAGAATATTGTTTAATATCGAGGAAAATCCTTTGCCACCCGCAAGTCAGACACGAATTTTTACACTGGCACGCACGTGATATCTATATCCTGGAAGGCCACGCCCAGCCAGGCCACCACCAGGCAGTAGTGCTGGAAGAGCTGCAGCAGCAGCTCACCCTCGTCGAGCATCTCCAGTCGCTCGATGCGCTGTCGCTCGGCCGCCGAGATACTTTCGTACACCTGCACCATGTCCCAGGCCCGGGCACCGCTCCAGCCGCTGTCCTTGAAGCGGTTTCGCTGCGTGTCCAGCGACAGGCAGGACTCCACGCCGGCCAGACTGCATCCGCGTCCACGCAGATTGTTGAGCATCACCTCGCCGAAACGATCGTTCATGTTTACCTAAGGAAATGAGGGATATTTTTGGTCGAAACTTGGCTCTCTCCTGGAACACCTGTACATCCTACCTGCTCATAGTTGACAAAGACGGCGGCCTGGAACTTTTGCGCTATCCATTTGAGCAGATTCCGACAGTTTTGCGCCTCAATATAGACGAGCACGCACTCGGCGAGGAAAATGGTGGGCAGGGAGAAGTCCACTTCGGCCTGCTGTAGCTTATTGTCCACCTCGTCGAGGTTACGCAGGTCGACGCCCATCAGGTGATAGCTGGGCCCATGCAGATCCGTGGGGCTCAGCCGCACCTCGCCGTCCTCGTCGTGGATCTTGGCCAGCAGGGCCTTGTTGCGTTTGATTGTGTAGCATTTGCGGGCAGTGACCGTGGGGAAGTCCAGCTCGATGAAGTTCTTCACCTGGTGGGCGGTGTCCCTCAGACGGAAGTAGAGCGTGTCGAAGCCGCAGCCCAAATTGATGATCTGGCAGTTGCCAGACGTTTTCTGCAAAAACACACAGAAAAGATGGACATGGATTAGGGTAATAGCAGAAAGGCCATCCACACCACCACGGACATGCGCATGCCAGTGGCCTTGGGGTGCGGTGCAACAGGACGCGATGGCTTTCGTGGTCGCGGTCTCCGCCTTGGCACTTGACCTAGGCACGTGCCAGACAGCTGGGCGCCCGTCCACCCCCCTGCCACTCTCGAATGACCGTTGCAGCGGCGCAGCCTGCCCAAACTGACCTTCAGGAACTTCTCGACGCACATCTCCACGCCCTTGACGCGGGCAAAGTAGCCGCGATTAATCTCCGGCGCCTTCCGCTCCTGGTTGCGGACAAAGTACCCAATGTAGTCGTCCTTCCAGTAGCCCAGGCGCACCGCACAGCGCTTGCAGTCACTGGCATCGTCGTTGGTGGCTATTACCGCCTCGTCGCAGGGATGGAACTTGTGCGTCGAGTGGTTGCCGGCACCTGACGCAATCCCGCCCGTCGATGGCGGCTCCATGGCTCGGCTGCAGATGTTCGATGAAATATTCCGTCGAGACTTGATCCGCAGTCAGTCCTGCGAGTCCTTCCAAAATTTGTGTTTTTCTCTGGTTTTTTCTCGGAATAGTAAACAGCTGCAGGAGTCGATTACGATTATTGCTATCGATGCCAGTGCTTTCGATTACCCACTGTCCGATAGGTCAATGTTGGACGTTTGGTGGCGCAACATTTTTAAAAAAGCATTTGAAAAACATTCAAAAGTTAATCAGTTATAATTATTTTAAAAAATTGCGGAAATTGGACTTAAGATTAAAATTTAAGTCAAGGAAATGGTTCATTAAATTCTTATAATATTTATTAATATAGTTTTCTTTTTGAAATAGAAAAACTTTTTTTGAGTCACATGAAAATTACTACTTATGTACCATAATTATTAACAAAGATACATTACTTTCTTTTTTTATTATTATTTTATAATTTAAAATATTAATATATATTTGTAGATCAGTGTCTTTTTAAATGATAAATATATTAATAAATATTTTAAATTAAAAAATTTATATTTAAGTTTAAACTGGTAAACTTAAGGAGTAACTCAACGCCCAATCAAAGATTGATATTTTTCTCAAAGCATTATTTTACGATCGCCCAAATCCACCCCTTCTTGATAGTTAATTTCAGTTTTCCTTTAGCCTAATTGACTTAAGCACTTCATTAATCAAGAAAGGGTCAACATTGTAAGCAAAGCGTGTCCACGTCCAAGTGCTTTAATTGCTTCCCGCATCTCTGACATCGGAAGCTTCGTCGTCGTCGTCGTTCGTCTTTGCTCATAATTAAAATTAGCAGCTACGCCCAACTACGAACGGGACCGCTCAATAAGTCGGGGTCAAAATGTGAACTGATCTCCAATTGCGCCTGAGCTCGGTGAATCACGACCCTTCTTCTTGCCGGCGAGGAATATGTATACTTCTAATAGAAATTTATTGGAAATTATGCAAAGCACATTTGGGGTTTTGTCATGCAAAAAGAAAACCCATTAGTCGTAAGAACGGAAGCTGCTTAGAGGTTTTAAATTATGTCGGAAAGGAGATTAGTTTAATTTTAAGAGAGTGAACTTGGGATATCCTTAAACTTGATAATAATAATAAAAATTACCATAAAGTTTTACCAATACAAAATGCTCAAATATTCATGTTTTTAAAATTTGTTATTTTTAATATTTTTAAATTTTATTTAATGCGAAATGCAAAGGTTCTCGTTCACTGTATCCAGTGTTTAATTGGTCGAACCACTTAACTTTTCGGTATCGACATAGTAATGGAATTAATAATCCCAATATGGACTTTACCTTGAGTTTAAATTGCTAAAATTGGATTAATAAAATTGTTAAATGAAGAAATAAACATGTACCAGATGAATCTACTGATGGTATGAAATAAACATCAATAAAACAATGAGTAAACTGTGTTTTTTTCACATTTCAAAAAACAAGCTTGTCGGTTTTTTGTTTAAAATTGAAAATGAAAATTATAGAAACTTGGGAAAGTTAATACCAGATTAAATAATACAAATAATTAACTTATTTTTCTGATTTTCTGATTAATTATATATCTAACAAACTTGTCTTATTCTTAATTTTATCATTAATTTTACAGACATTACTAGTTTAGAATGCTTTAAATAAATACAGTTTAAATTGCCGAAATAAATAATATAATTTCCTATTAAGTAACTTAAAAAGTCTCATTAATACAGGGTAAATTCCTAATTAATTACCTTAAAATGTCTCATTATTTTTAGTAATCCGATTCCAATATCTAAAAAACGTTAACTTTATGTTATCGTAAATTTTACAGAAATTACTAGTTAAAGTAAATTTTCCTTTTAAATATTTTTTAAATTAATAAATTGTTACATTAAATTAATTTGTGGTGTTTAAAATATTAATATAAAATATTTATATTAATATTTTTTTCGAAAGGGGTTGAAGGTAGCTGCGCAAAGGCACTCCTACTATTTTGAGCACCACTGTACGTAGATAGAGTGGACGTGCCCACAGCCCGGCATCTGTTGGCCCGCTATATGGTATGTGCCTCGCTTGGAATCGAGTTTGGTTTGTGGCCTCAGTTCAGCGGTAGCGTTCGAGAGAGTCGGATTGTTTTTTACGAGCGTTCCGAGCTGCGCGCGCTCCATACAGCGACAAGTACAGGTGTATCTGTGTGAGAGAGCGTTGGTAACAGCCAGCCACCTGAGTGTGTGAGTGTTAACAAAGCGGCGGGCGAGTTCTGTGTGTGCGTGAGCCGTCGTTTTGACGTTATTACGCTACCTGGTCTACCTGGGCCTGTGACTCAAAAACGGTCATTTCAGCTGCGTTACGTTTTTTCTCGCTTGTTGTATGTTGTTGTTTTTTTTTTGTTCCCATATTTTGCTACCTTTTTCGGGGCGTTGGCTAAGAAAGTTATTTTGTGAGTGAAACATTGAAAACATAATGGTAATGGTTGGAAAATCGCGATTAGATAGTGAAATGAAGGCTAGAAGCCGCAACAAGTTGCCACGGCAACGTCATCAATTGGAGCATAACTGTAAAAAGTAGTGAGATTAAAGTACAGAGAAAAATATATTCAGTATTCAGATGGTTTAAATAAATGATCTAAACTGAAAACCAAGTGACTTTCCTTAATAAGTGTCTAAAAACCTATTGATATTTTTCCAAAATAGAATAAAACAATCCTTAAACAATATGATAAAGATATCTCATCTAAAAAAAAATACTACCCCAAATATCTTACCGTGTAGCCAGCAGCAAAAACAGCAACACCTGTGCAGTGGGCCAACACACAGATACAAAAACGCACACTACATAGAAGCATTCATACCTGCGCTTCACTTTCAGCGTTATCGTTGCGTTTTATTGTTTGCTTCGGTGATTGCGAAAAATAAAGAAAATAATCTAAAAACTTGTACTACGAATCCATGAATCACCCAGCTACAAACATAACGAAAACAAACGAAATTTCGACACGAAATTCGATATGAAAGTTCCCAGCCTCGAGTCTCCTCGAGTTTGGAAACTAAGCTTGGCGCATTTTTTGTGCAGGCGTTTGCACTTCCGTAAATTAATAAGAACCCCTTTTGGAGGGTTCAGCAATCGAGGAGTAACTTGAGGCGTCCGCAAGCAGGTTAATGCACCGCACTCACACAGCGGCGACAGGGGTCTCGTATCTGTGTGAGTCCTTGTGCCAGTTAGCATACAGTCGCAGTCAAGATGATAGCATCAAAGAAGACTCAATGCAAATATCTCGGCATTTAAATCATTAACCTAATAAAAAAAAATATAATATACATAATGTACTTTGGATTTTAAAACTATTGGGTTGCCATCAGTTGAATAAATTATAGTTCAGCAAATAAAATGAAATTTATATAATTATCTTAAACTTATATTACCCTGATTTACTCTTCAGTACAGACTGTACGATTTTTTAATATTAAAAAAAAAAAGATTTAAAATAAATAAACTTTGTAAATGCACTTCTTACAGCGGAACCTTTAAATTGAGAACACTTTTCGAAGCTTTGTTAAATGTTTTTTTTTTTTTTAAACTCTTCAGTTATTAATTCACAATATTTTTTTAGAGATATTAGAATAAAACCAATTGCTATTAATTTAAGAAATACAATTATATGGTATCATATTTTAATGACCCTCATTGTATATGTGCATGTTTTGTAACCGGGGTAACGACATGAAAGTTGCATCGATACTGCATTGAAATTGAAATGCCAATAGTGAAATTCAAATTTTAACCGTCTTTGAAAATACCAGGTGTCTCTGTTCTCTCACTTTTTCTTTTGTTGCATTTTCACACGTGCCAAAATGTTAGAGCTTCCGGAAATACCTGACAGTGACAGTCCTATTATTACTTATTATTACTTCTATGTATGTACAACAGTAGTACAAAACTTACATTTTTTTCTGTATTATTTGTTTATAAACTTTATAGCCAAGTCCTACTGCCCGTTTGAGACAACAGATGGCAAAGACTATGAAACCTAAAAGTACCAAATTTATTTACAAAGCCTTAGTTCTGAATTCAGTTAAAGTTAAACAAAATTAAATACAATTGTAGAGACATACTCAGTAAATTTGAATACAATATTATCTTATCTGACTAAAGTTAAGTGATGTTAAACAAAAAAATTGCAACATTCCACCTATTTCCCGCTTGCACTAGTAGAGGCCTCATGTGGTCAGTAGTCTCTTAAACCTGGTTTCAAGCTGTGGCGGTTCAAAATGCCATTTTTTTATACCCTTGCAGGGTATTATAATTTCAGTCAGAAGTTTGCAACGCAGTGAAGGAGACGTTTCCGACCCTATAAAGTATATATATTCTTGATCAGCATCAACAGCCGAGTCGATCTAGCCATGTCCGTCTGTCCGTCTGTCCGTCTGTCCGTCTGTCTGTCTGTCTGTCTGTCCGTCTGTCTGTTTCTACGCAAACTAGTCCCTCAGTTTTAAAGCTTTCTGAATGAAACTTTGCATATAGTCTTCTATATGCTCTCACTGCTATATATGTCGGAACGGGCCGGATCGGACGACTATATCATATAGATATGGCCATGTTATATTGTTTCAGAATTTTGGTAAAAATTTTATGAAAATCGGACGACTATATGATATAGCTGCCATAGGAACGGTCGAGAAATAAATAGGAAAAAAATTATAGTTTCGTTGTTTTTCAATGTATGTTTATCTACTCTGAGATATAAGCTTTTTTTATTATTCTAGAATTATGGTATAAATTTCATAAAAATCGAACAACTATATCATATAGCTACCATATAAACCGATCGGTAGATGTAGAGAAAATGTAAAACTGGGATTGTAAAACTGTAACTGTCAAACTGTAAACATAATAAGTATAGGTAAAATGTAAGGAAACTCTGTTTTGTGAGTGTTTTCAGCATTTAAATCTATAATATAAACATCGAAACCAATCTGCAAGGGTATACAAACTTCGGCGTGCCGAAGTTAGCTTCCTTTCTTGTTACTAGTTATTATTTATTTCTACGTTATTTTCAGAATTTTGGTTTTTTTATTAATATCTCAAAAAAGTGTGGGAATGATAGGGAGTAAGTACCTTATTCGTACTCTCAAATTCTTATTGCTCAAATCTACAAAATATAAAAAAATCAACAAAATATAATATAAACAGTAAGACCCATAGCCTAAAACTTGACATCTGGAAAATGGACAAACAAAAATTATATAGTGAATTTCAATCAGTGCTCGGACATTAACCAGAAACCCTTGAACTTGTTGAAACTTCTACATCCCCCTTTTTTTTTGATACCCTAGTTTTCCCTTCGCGTTTGTTCCAATTTACACCGATGACCTTTCGCCTTCATTGCTGCAATTAACCCATTGACGCCGATACCCAGCGCCCCAGACAATGCACACTCACACGTAATCGCTCCATTCGAGCAACTCCCGATCACATTGCCACCAAATTGGAGTCGCACTTTGTGCTGTAACTTATTTTTAGCGCATTTTTTTTGAGCCAACACATTCAAACGGGTTTGACTCGGTCTCTCGGCTTTTTCTAATGCCGGAGAGTCAAGAAAATTCAGCGAAACAACGTAATGAAAAACCAGTTTGATCACTCTTACTCGTACTCAGAGCCGAGATCTGTTTTTATTCTGTTTGTTTATACATTTATGGAGTTGAATGTTTGTTTGGAGAACCATAGCTGAGATCTGAAACATTTCTGAAACTGTAAAGCATATTTGAGAATTTATTTAATTTAAAACCCAGAGGGACTTATGGAACAGATTAGTCAGCAATTTCTTATAAATTTTTCAAATCGAATAGCAAATATACTTTGAGGAATGACAAGATTATATTTAAAATATATTTTTCTAATTTCTTGTATTAATTCGAAATTAATTTGAATATTTTCTTTAGATCGCCATGATGCACATATTAAAATATCGCGACAAGTTTAGTTGGCTTCTGGCTTTTCCCCTCTTAATCTGCGCCTGTCTTGGCCAATTTGCCGAGGCTCAGACAAGGGATCCCAGATTTTATTCACGTCCCGGTGTTGACTATCATTGGCCCAATCCAGGTGATCCAGACTACAGGTGAGTCAGGGCAAACATCGCGTCTTATCAATTTTGATTACTCAAGTCACTTCCTTTCAGAACTTACACGTTCAACGATCGCCGATATGGCCATTATCAGCCCAATGGCTTTGGTGCCAACTATCCAGGAAGAAATCCACCCGGACAATATCCGCAGGGTATGCCGAACGAGGATCGTTTTCGATTTGATCCGGTAAGAGGAAATTATAAGTTTCTAACAAAACAGAAAATCATTTCCTGTATCAGGTTGATTTTATTTGTCTAAAGTCATTTGCTTTAAATGGCTTTGATCTGTTCACCTAAGCCCCAACTTGCGCTTAATTAATTAAATTCTTTGACACAAAAATCGGTCATCTATGGTTAAGAACTGGACCGGGGGCGATCTATATACAAACAATGACCAGTCATTGAGCGATGGGAAGTTCGCCCCGATCATCAGATCGCTCCAATATCAAAGCAATAATCTTAATTGAGTTTTCATGCCGTCGCAAGTGGAGCCAAAGGCGACTTAATCAATTACACATGTTTCCCATTCGCCGATCGGCTCACTGTCCCCAGTTTTTCATCCATGGAATGGTGCTAATGATGGTCTCGTCTCCGCTTTCCCTTTTCCGCAGAACGATCCCAATGCACGGACCCAGTTCCCGGGAGTCTTGGCCGGTTGGCGTGAGGACCTGCAGGGTAAGCAGCGTCGTGACTCGTTGACCCTGGAGAGGGACGTGTTTGTGACCACCAACTATGGTCAGGTGCAGGGCTTCAAGGTGTACATGTATGACAATCCTGATCCCAAGTCCTTTTACCGTCCCTACCATTCCACGGTGGACCGTGTGATGGGCGAATGCTCCGCCTTCCTGGGCATACCCTATGCCCTGCCGCCCACCTTTGAGGGTCGTTTCAAGCCGCCCCGCATTCATCGTGGTTGGCAGCTGCTCCAGGCGGTGGATTTCGGACCCGCTTGTCCGCAACCCGTGCGATATACGGGAGCCACCAAGGGTGTGATGGACATGGACGAGGATTGCCTCTACTTGAATGTGTATTCGCCCAAGGTGAGTTGGATTTTGTTAATAAGATCCAAGATTATGTTGGAATTTATTATCTTTCTTTTCTTTGAAGACTGGAGCTGGAGTGGCCCAAAAGTATCCAGTTATGGTGTACATTCATGGCGGAGAGTTCATCCGCGGAGCTTCCAACCTGTTCCAGGGTCACGTGTTGGCCTCCTTCTACGACGTTGTGGTGGTCACGCTGAACTACCGCCTGGGTGCCCTGGGATTCCTCTCCACGGGTGATGAGAACTCGCCCGGTAACTACGGCATCCTGGACCAGGCTATGGCCCTGCGTTGGGTCCACGACAACATTGAGTTCTTTAATGGAGACCGGGATTCCATCACGCTCTTTGGCCCTGGCGCGGGTGGAGCCTCCGCCGGTCTGCTGATGGTGGCGCCAAGGACGCGAAATATCGTGAAGCGAGTGATTGCCCAGTCGGGATCAGCGCTGGCGGACTGGGCCCTGATCCAGGACAAGTACAGGGCTATGAATACGAGCCGAGTCCTTGGCCAGCTGCTCGGCTGCTCCATAGAGTCGTCGTGGAAGCTGGTGAACTGCCTACGAACTGGCCGTAGCTTCTACGAGCTGGGTAACGCCGAGTTTGCCCCCCAGGTGGGCAGTTTTCCATGGGGACCCGTGCTGGACCACAACTTCACGCTGCCCGGCGACGACTGGTATGAGGGCTGGCGGGAGCGGGATTGGCGGTTCCTCACCCAAACGCCCGAAACCCTGATCCGCTCCGGCAAGTTCAATCGGAACATTCAGTACATGACGGGCGTGACCACACAGGAGGCGGCCTTTTTTGTGGCCCAAAACGAGTCGCTGAGCCCGTACTACGAGCTGGATGGACGCTTCTTCGACCAGAAGATACGTGAGCACGTCTTCCGCTACAACTACACGCTGAACCCGAACGGTGTGTACGAGGCCATCAAGTATATGTATACGTTTTGGCCGGATCCCAATAATAACACCATCATCCGGGATCAGTACGTGAACATGCTGAGCGACCTGTACTACCGTGCACCGGTGGACCAAATGGTCAAGCTGATGCTGGAGCAGAAGGTACCGGTGTACATGTACGTCTTGAACACCACAGTCGAGGCCCTGAACCTGCCTCAGTGGCGCAAGTATCCGCACGACATCGAACGATACTTCCTCACCGGTGCTCCCTTCTTGGACACCGAGTTCTTCCCCAAAAAGGAGCACTTGCAGCGCAACATGTGGACGGACAACGATCGCAACATGAGCCACTTCTTTATGCAGACCTATTCGAACTTTGCCAGATACGGGTGAGTCCTGGAGAGATTCCTCTTGGTATTATTTACTTAATTGGACAAACCCCCTTTCCAGCAATCCGACGCCCCAACAGGTGCTGGGCATGCACTTTCAGCGAGCCTATCAGGGCGAGATTCGCTACCTAAACATCAACACCACTTTCAATTCCTCCATCCTGCTCAACTACCGGCAGACGGAGTGTGCCTTCTGGACCCAGTACCTGCCCACGGTGATTGGTGTCCTGGTGCCCACATATCCACCCACCACGGAGTACTGGTGGGAGCCCAAGGAGCCGCTGCAGATCGCCTTCTGGAGCATGTCGGTGACCTGTTTCTTCCTCATCGTGCTGGTGGTCATCTGTTGCATCATGTGGCGCAATGCCAAGCGGTGAGTTGGGAAAAAAGGGAATAGAAGAGCCATTATCCCTGAAGATAAACCTAAATATCTACACCTAAATTTTAGTTATATGAATTAATTTATAAATTATAATTCCATAGACAATCTGATCGCTTCTACGACGAGGATGTCTTCATAAACGGCGAGGGCATTGAGCCAGAACCGGAAGCTAGGGGCGTGGACAATGCCCATATGGTGACCAACCACCATGCCCTGCGCTCCAGGGACAACATCTACGAGTACCGCGACTCGCCATCCTCCAAGACCCTGGCCAGCAAGGCTCACACGGACACCACCTCGCTGCGCTCACCCAGTTCGCTGGCCATGACCCAAAAGTCCAGCAGCCAGGCTTCCCTCAAGTCGGGCATCTCGCTGAAGGAGACCAACGGCAGCCTGGTTAAGTCCCATGAGCGAGCAGCGACGCCGCGATCCCAGCCAATTGGAAATGGCAACGGCTCAGCGGCCAAGGCTGCGGGACCAGTGGAGGAGAAGCGTCTGTTGCAGCCGCTCTCCAGCACCCCGGTACCCCAGCTCCAGGCAGAGCCAGCGAAACGGGTCCCAGCCGCGGCCAGTGTCTCCGGCAGCAGTCGAAGCACCACGCCAGTGCCCTCCGCCCGGAGCACCACTCACACCACGACGGCTACGTTGAGCTCGCAGCCGGCGGCGCAGCCAAGACGCACTCAGCTGGTGGAGGGTGTGCCGCAGACATCCGTCTAAGTAACAGCTCTCTAAGCGCGGGATGCGCTTAGGGAGTAAGCCGAATCGTCCAATCACACAGCCTGGAACCAGGAAGTAACAAAGCAGGTAGGTTCACTTTTTGTATAACTTGTTAATCAATAAAACGAAAGTTTCATTGAAAACCTTATTAAATATTTTACTTATTTATTTTACAGATCTTTCTGGGAAACCAATTAAACTAATTTTTTGCATTAAATATATTTTAAGTTTATGTTTTAAGATGTTTTTAAACAGATCTTTAAGATCTCAGTTTTGAGTTGTAATTTTTAGAAACCAATTTTCTTAAGTTTCTTAAGTTCTCTTTAAGTTTGTTCTTAAGTTCGATAACCCAACGAATACAAATCCATATCAATGACATTCCATAGCCTTAGAATTGGCCTTTAAGTGTACATATAAAATAACTATTAATAAATATATGTATATTAAAAGTGTTTAGGTCATATAAAAAAGCTCTTTTTAAGGAGATTAGCTAGAAAAAGGTTATATTGAAGATATATATTGCAATCTTCTGTAACTAAAAGCTATAATATTAAGACGATACATAGAATACAAATTCATAAATTTTGTATATTTATATCTATCAGAAGCAATTTTCCCTGCTCTCTGTTGTATCGAATGAAATCATCATTTAAAAAGAACAAAAAGTTTAAGTAAACTAACAACGACAGAAAATAAACAAAAATATATATAAATTATTTAAAACATACCTTATTTAACTTATCATAACTCCATAACTCATAGTTTATCATAGAATCTTAGATCTTAGCCACTCCCACACATCATCAAGAGCAATACCTAAAGTGCCTTCATTATTGTAAACGTCTTTTGATGGATCAAACCTAGTTCTAAACGGAAATGGTGCCACCATCCGCGTGTGCCTTTCATATACATCTACATATATTTAATTTTACTTTTAGATTTTGTATATGTTTTATGTGTCGCATATAAGCCAACAAAGACCATACAAATTCAGTGTGAACCGTCCAATAACTTTGTTTTCATTTACATCGTGTAAAAGTTAGTTTCTGTATATATCTCATATTTTTGCATGATCGAAAGCATATTGTATTAACATTTTATATGTTTTTATATGTAACTATAGTTAAGTTTTATGTGTTTTGTCCCGAAATAAAAGATAATATAATATAAATGTATCTGGGGAACCTGTCTTGTGATGTCTTTTAAGGGTGATGCAAACTCTTCTTTGCCTATTTTATTTTCTGTTTTCCTAACAGAGAATATTTATTTATCGATTATGTACCGATATTATAATATTTATCGGATAAATTTGATGAAATCGATATTTTAACATTTCGTACGCATTCAAAGTAAACAAAAAAAAAAAACAAATATTTCTGTAATCACTCGATGTATTGAGCCCGATATTTTTTCGATATATCATTTGGAATTTTAGTCTCGATATACTTTCCACTATTATTTATTATTATAGTTTTCTAGAGGTTATTTGATTACGGATTTAACCTTCACCAAGGAAAATGAAAATATTATACCACCCCGCTGTAAAAGTCCACTCGTTACTAAAGTTTGATGAAGGCAAAACGGTCTGTAATTCCGTTTACTTGTCTTCTGTGATTTCTGGCAAAAAAAAACGCACACAAATTAATTTGAAAAGGGTCCTTTTTGGTAACCCTGAGGGTTCTTATTTATTCTGAGTTTTCGGTTGTCAGATAAAAATAAAAAATAAACAAAGTATTTTCACTTTTTCAACAATCCATGGTGGGACTGTCACTTACACTAAAGTTTGTCCAACATTCTACTTTGCTTACGAGTGTATTTAAATGGTTCGCCGGTCTCTTCCTTCATGGTGACTCCGACAGATTGTGGGGGATAGGGATAAGTCCATATTAACATGATATCTCTAAGGTCCTACAGATACAACGACGCTGCGAATACTATATCGCGTTTGAGCAGACGTATGCCCTCCGAAAACTTATTTTCCAGGTCCGTGTTGCCGATGGTCTTGGAGGCCTGGCACATCTGCCGCAACAGCTCTTCCAGCCGGCGCATGCAGCGGATGATGGAACCCTCGAAGATGTCGGTCATCTTGCAGACGGCCAGGAAGCTGGAACCCTTGCACCACGCCAGCACCACGTCCATCAGGAAGGGCTTGAACTTGTCCACATATGTGTCGGCATCCAAATCAAGCTTACACTCCGTGGAGACCTTGGCAATGCGTCGGGCCAGATCCTGCATAGAGCGCAGTGGTCCCGATAACTCGGTGGCGCTCTTCGGCGACTCGGTGGATTTCTCGTCACAGACAAAGCAGGACAGCAGAGCCACCGCCTGGGGGGCAGTGAGTTCGTTGAACACCCCATTGAAGATCATCTCGGTCATAAGGAGTTCGTCCGCAGAGCTAAGTTCGCAGGCCACGCGGCCCTTGAACTCGATGACATCGCCGGGCTTACAGTAACCCATCCGGCGGAGCACGCGCTTGCGATGCTTCAGCTCCTCCATTTGCAACAAGCTCCTGGCAGCCTTCAGTTCGGCCTTCAGGTTGGCCAGCTCTGTCTGCAGCTTCACCTTGTCCTGGTAGCGACGATGAATGCGCTCCAGCTCCGGCGACTGGTGCAGCGGATGTTCCTCCAGCCGCTTTTCGAACTGGGCGATGGCGTCCACAATGTCCCGAAACTCGCGATCCTTGATGTTCATGTCATCAATCGGGTTGAGGACTGGCGGCCCCAAGGGAAACCGCTTCTTGGCCTCCTGGATGGTCTTAAGCACGGCCCGTCGATTGTCAGCACTGCGCAGGTCGTTGGGGAAGTACACGCGGATCGAGCTGATCTGAGTGATGAGCGTATTGGCCACCGGAACCACCTCCATGCAACCACGTTCGTTGGGACGGCATGGCTCCGTGTCGCCAGACTTGGCGGCCGCTTCGCTCACGTGCAGCAGGACGTCGATGGTGACGCTTGGATCGCTTTTCAAGGGGTTCTTGCGGCTTTGGTCCTGCTTCTTGAAGTTCAGAATGATGCCCCAATCGTATTCCTGTGAGCCGGCAGCCACCTTGACCAGCCGACCGGGCTGCAGGAAGGGCAGCAAGTACTGCGGCTTGGTGAGCCACTGTCGGAACTGTTTGCCGCGGAGATCCAGCTCGGAGCGAATGTGGTGATAGGAGGCGATATTGTGCTCGTCCTTGATGTTCAGCTTGTTCAGCTCGAGCGTCTTCTGCTCCACCTGGTCGTGCAGTCCGGGCAGGGCGGCCTGGTTCTGAAACTGGTAGAAACTCCGCTCCAGCATGTATTCCGGATTGATCTCCTCCACGCGCAGCAGGTTCAGCACCATGTTGTAGGTGAGGTGAAAGGCCGAGTTGATGGGATCGGCCTTGCCCTGCACAATGTCACGGCCCACGGCCGGCGAAACCTTCTCGTCGATCATCAGGATAACAATGCCCTTGTCATCCAGGCCACGACGACCGGCACGTCCCGCCATTTGGATGTACTCGCCGGAGCTGATCCAGCGGAAGTCCTTGCCATCGAACTTTCGGGGAGCTGTAAACAGCACCGTCCTGGCCGGCATGTTGAGGCCCATTGCAAAGGTTTCGGTGGCAAACAGGGCCTTGATCAGGCCCTCGCCGAACAGAATCTCAATGGTCTCCTTGAGGATGGGCAGCAGGCCGCCATGATGGATGCCTATACCACGGCGGAGCAGTGGCAGCACATTCTCCACCTGGGGCAGGCGGCGATCTTCCTCGGTGAGCACATCCATGGCGTTATTGAACACCTCATCCACCAGCTTTTTCTCATCCTGCGAATTAAAGTCCAGCTTGGCCATCTGCATCGCATAGATCTCGCAATCCTTTTTGCTGAACGAGAAAATAATGACCGGGGCAAAGTTGCGCTCCATGATCATCTTGACGATCTTGAAGATGTTCGTCTGTCCCGCATTCGTGCCCCTCATGCCGCCCTTGCGTCCCTTCTGATCGCCCTTGGCAGCCTCACCTGGCGGAGCAGGAATTTAAATTAAAGTAATGGCAATCAGAGAAATGTTAATTTCTCTACTCACCCGCAGTAGCCAGCACCGCCATGGCTGTGGTGAAGTTGTCCTCCTTGAACTGCCCCTTCTCGTCGACAATGAGATGGATGCCATCGCCACCGGCTGGGAACATGTAGTGCTGGAGCGGAGTGGGCCGGTAATCGGTGTAGACGACATGACACGGCTGCTTGTGCAAGTGACAAACCCACTCGGCGAACTGGCGGGCATTCGGAATGGTGGCCGAGAGGAAGACATAGCGCACATTGTCCGGCAGCAGAATGAGCGTCTCCTCCCAGACGACACCGCGCTCCTTGTCACGCATGTAGTGAATCTCATCGAAGATGACCCAACCCACTTCGCGCATGATCTCGCTGCCGCGGTAAAGCATGTTCCGCAGAATCTCAGTGGTCATGATCAGGCAAGAGGCTGATGGATTGATGGTAACGTCGCCGGTGACCAGGCCAACGTCCTCAAACTCCTCGGTGAACTCGCGGAACTTCTGGTTGGACAGAGCCTTGATGGGCGTGGTGTAGATCACGCGCTGCTTGGCGGCCAGCGACTTGGCAATGGCATACTCGGCCACCACGGTCTTGCCTGCCGACGTGTGGGCGGAGACCAGGACGCTCTGCCTGTTGTCAATGCACAGGATCGCCTGGTGCTGAAAGGGATCGAGCACAAAAGGGTATTCCTTGGCCGGCACACCGCTGAACGGCTGCAGGGGTATGTACTCCTGGTCGGGATGGACGGCCACCTCGTGGGTGCACGACTCTGGTGACTCCAGCAGGTGGGTCACAATGCGCGTGCGCAAGGCCTCTAGGTCCGCCGAGTCTTCCAACTCGAGCTTGGGCTCTGCTTCCTCATCCTCATCTTCCGCCTCTACCTCCTCCTTCGACTCTTCCTCCATTTCCTCCATTTCCTCCTGCTTTGAGCGCTTTGTGGGCTCTTCCTCGGTCTCCTCTTTGTCGTCGGCCTTCGCGTCTTTTGCCTCATGTTTTTCCTTTGCTTGGCGTTTGCTCGCCTTCTTCACTTCTTTGGTGTCGCCACTGTCCAGCGCTGGCTTCGCCTCCTTGCTGAACGCCGGTGGAGGAGGCTGCAGGCTCTCCGGGGCCACCTCGTCGAAGCAGTCAAACAGCTCGTCTATGTCCATGCCTTAATTCGCGCGAATTCTTTATTTTTAATAAAAACTATTTTCAACGCACGCCGCAAAACATGTGAACCACCGATAGCCGATAACGCGATAAGTTCTGTAGACGATATCGATTTCTGTGACAGTGCTGCCAATTTGACTGCTTTATGAAGGATCTGGCTATTTTATTTAACAACAAAAAATATTTTAAATTATGTACAGACGGGATTTAATATAAATAAATTTAATAAAATAACTAAGTTTCTAAAAAAACAACTTTTTAATGCAACAGAATTGCAGCCCTTAGCCTTGCAAACAGGTTGGTCAATGAAATCACTTTCTTTTATTAATTAAAATACTAAAATGCTCATTAAAAAATAGCAACAATTTTAAATATTTTTAATATATTTCTTCTCTCTAATATTAATTTTAGCAAAAAAAAACTAGCTAAAAACTGAGCATCTCTCTCCAACCAACCAACGGTCACACTACCAAAACAGCTGTTCTGTTTTTCCATTGCACGGTGCCTGGTAAAATTATACAATTTGTTGCCGTTTTTAACAACAGTTTCCGCAGAGTCCCAGAAACAATTAGCTGAAAATGGTGGCTGGTGGTGCCTCGGATACGGGCGGCGTGAAGCCGATGGCCATTGCGGGCCGCATGGTGCGCGAGCGGGAGCGCCTGATTGGCATGTCGCCCGACGAGCGCGCCTGGCGCAAGCAGTGGCTAAAGGACCAGGAGCTGCATCACGGGCCGCGCAAGGTGCCCGCCCTGGAGCTGGAGCTGAACAACCCCATTAAGCGTTTCTATCGCGCCCCGCTGGACAAGGTCTGCAACATATTGACGCCTGTCCTGGTGAGTTTACCCGCTGAGCCCGCTTATGTAATCAAGCCAAAAACGGGCTGAAATGCTTGATTGGAGGCGGATCCAAAGGAGTAACTGTTGGTTGCTGCATTTCAGGGCTTCCAGCGTGCGTACACGGTGCGCTTCTGGACCGGAAAGGCGCTCCTGGCTCTCACCGGAATCTACGCCGGTGCCTACTACTTCAAGTACAATCAGAATGTGAGTAAATGCAGCTTATTTTGGCTAGGGAGGTACTTTGGGAGACCAATTTAAGCCTAGAATGGCTATTAATGTTTTCTTATATCCCGGAGATCCTTCTATTAAGGGTCCATTCTGGTTAAGTTTCTCTAAAAAATCTTAAGTGATCGTTAAAATAAACATATTCTCTTCTCTTAGGATTGGACCCGCAAGGGTGGCTGGCGTGTGATTTCCTCCCGCAAGCAGTGCGTACCCGGAGATGAGGGATATCCCAAGGTCTCCGATCGTTCGGCTCCCTCTGATTACGCGGCCCGTGGATTCAAGCAGTCGCCCTTATAGGCAGCAAATCGTTATATACAGCTGGCTTAGTGATTTTTCTTAAGTTTGAAACACGTAAATTAATGATATCAAAACAAAAATCGCAATAAATATGGAAACGAAAACACAGAAGAAGACGAATGAGAAGTGATGAAGGAGAGTGGCGATTGGAGTTTTGTCATTACCGCGGCGTTGCTGTGAAAGAGGTTTTTCTGCTGCGTTTGGCGGTTATTCTTTTTTGTTGGCTTTTACTTTGCCGAAAAGCTGCCAAAGCACTTTCCGTGTGTGCTCAATTCGGTTGAATTGTTAATTATCGGTCACTTTCTTTTATTTGCATTTTCGAGCCCGCCAAGGCACCAACGGAGCTGCCGAAGCTCTCACAAAATGGTTATTACTATCAAAGGTGTGGTGTAAGTAAGAATAATAATATAAAAAATAAAATAAAATAATAATATATAAAATATAAAATAAATAAAAAAGTGCATGATCTGAAAATCTGTTAAAAGATACCAAAAACGAAATGTGAATTAAAATTAAATTATTTTGATATACCTCAAAATATGAGAAGTAATAACACATAAAAATAAAAGTATATAAATTAATAATACTAAAATTATGATAAAAACTAAGGAATATATTTATTCAGTAATCATTTAAAGTGAATAACAAAAAATAAACAAAACAAATACCATCAAAATATGTGTATGTGTTTTTCAAATAAAGTTATGGCATTTATTGAATAAACTTACTTGAATAAGTTGCAATTTTATAAAGGTCCTGCCATAATAACAACAAATCAATTAAATATAAAATAAAAGATTCGGTTAAAAATAATTATGACCATCATGATGATAGGCAATTCAAAAATTGTTTAATACAAAAAGTGAAAAATATGTTAAAAAAAAAAACAAATTAAAAGAATTCTTAAAATTTACATTTTCAAAACTTTTTAAAATAAATATGTATGTCGCAGTCTTAAAATCAGAAAAAACGTTAAAAAAAATATAATATATTCGGCGATCTTGCTTTTATTGCAAATTACAGAAAAAAGTGTTTTAAATATATGTGCAGTGAAGCTGAAAAATATAAAAATATAATTTAATAAGAATAATTTAACAATGTGCTGTAACCGCTTTCCAATTTAAACTGCGCGCCTCCTTTACTAGCCAAGTTTACCACCATGCACACGAGCGAGAGATCTGGCAACCCCAGCAAATTTTGATGATAGCATCGACATTTCTCCAGGTGATCTGGCACTTTTGGTCGCTGGGACCGAAAAGTCTGGCACTTTTGGTCGCTGGGACCGAAAAGTCTGGCAGCGCCGTCCAGCGTTGCCAGACTTTTCGGTCCCAGCGACCAAAAGTGCCAGACTTTTCGGTCCCAGCGACCAAAAGTGCCAGATCGTCGGTATAGACTTTTACATTCTACACGAGAATTCGACCCCAAGCATGTAAAACTTTGTTTTGACATTTTACTTTGAAGTTCAGACAAAAATATCGCGATTTCGATATTTGGGCAAAAAGTATCGTTATATTTAGGTTTTGAAACACGCCAGATATAGTGGGAAGTGCTGGGCCTCGCTCAATCGATCTCGCTCTCTCTTGTCGCAGCACGTCGCCAATATTTCGTTCGAGTCTCTGAAAACGGCCAAAAACCACTCCGGAGTCCGGACCACGGGCATTTGATCCGCAGACAGACATAAAGAACTCCCTGCGATCTGGCCTTGACTTGCCGGAGGTTAAGCTGCCGAAAACCGAAACTGCGGACGGACGTGGCTGTGTGTGCTGGTGTATGTGCGCGGCGCGGCGGTGTGTGCAATTTTTTTTCATCATCATCCCCAGTCTGAGATCCGAGCCGCGTGTGTTTGCTATAGGCCGTGCTGTTCCGTGGAGTGGAGCCCAGGAGCAGGTGAGTGATCGCCACCTGGCAGCCAGCCGCGGGGCGGGTGCGGGAGCAGGTGCAGATCACTGGATTCCCCAACGGATTCCGTTGGTTTTAACGTTTTTTCGTGCCCTTTATTCCACATTCTACCAGTGAAAAAACGTCGACGTCGCTGCCTCACGTTTTTATTTTTTTCCTCTGCCGCCGTTCGCTCTCTTAATCTCGCTCATTCGCTCTTTCTCGCCGCTCTCCCACCTCGGCTCTGCGCGCGCAACTCGGCCTCAGCTGTCAGTGCTCTGTCAGCAGCGCGGCATTCCCGCGCGCGGGAAATCGCCAACTTAGAATGTTCCTATTTTCCCCATTTCTATCCTGATTTTTGGTTTCATTGCAGAATCTGATTCTGTGGGTTTTCCGCTTTCCATTGCATATAGATTCGGTTGGGGCTTTAGTCAATTTAGCGGCCTGGCAGGCGTTCAAAGTTGGTGCCAAAAACGATGAAATCGTAATCGATGACAACAACAAAGTAGCAGGGGTTTGTTTGGGTGTCGGGCAGAGCTGCCACCTAGGTATCAGAAAGAGCGGCGATCATGTGTTTTTGCAGGTTATATCTTGGCAAGTTCTTAATTATGATAATTAATTAAATATTGAAGGATTTTTAAGGTACTAAATTTTTTGGAAAATTTGCTTGATTCCTTGCGGTATTATTGGTAAAGTCTTCTATGAATTAAGTTGTGCATTAAGCCGTTGTTGATTGGTTTTAGTAATTGAATTTTAAACTTTCTACCAAAATATTTTGTTTTTGTCAGGTTGAGAAATTTAGTAAACAATTTTTAATAATTATTTTATTATTACTTTTTGTAAACTTCGATCTTAAACCGTTCTTTTTCCGCCCTGCTGGCAGCGCTGTCAGCTGTTTAACAGTTTACCCCCATCCAATTGGAGTCTGGTGGCTGGCGTCCCCATTTTTTTTATGGCAGGCTCCAATTGCAGACTCCATTCAATAAAATGCGAAGCCTGCCACCAGCGGAGTTAGCTCTCCCTCTCGCTCTTCCCTACGCATTCCTTCGCTTTGTGCGGCTGCTTCGCGCGGGAGAATCGTCCGCTCTCATTCTCTCCGCCGCTCTGCCGCGCTCTCCCTCTGGAAATGTCAGTTGAGCTACCAACAACTACAACACTCGGCCGCCGTGTGGTTGTTGCAGTTTTTGGCGCTTCTGATCAGCTTGTTTTGGCGCGTTCCTCTTGCACACTCGCCGCAGTCGACGTCGCAGCCGGCAGAGCGGAGAACAAGCAGCAGCGCCAGCGACAGGCAGCAGTTCCACCAATTTGGGGGATCACTCTGCTGCCGTCGCTCGTGAAGTTTTCGTGGCCGGCGTGTGACGACGACGACGACGGCGAAAAATCGGTTCAATCTATTTGGAATCCGTTGGAAAACCAACTAACGCCTTTTCCCAACATCGATTATCTGTTCAAAGGTAAAAGAATTGCACAATTCCACCCAATTCTACGGTAAAAAAAAGTGTGGAAGCAGTGAAAAAAAAAACCTATGACGCGAGTGTGTGACAAGTGTTCGTGTGTGTGCAGAGAGGGGAGAGTGTGTGAGTGGTCGGTACGTGCGGGGGAATGTGGGAGAGAGGGCTGCGTGCGGTTGTCGTCGTGTCTTTGCATTTTTTGCTACAAATACAATACATTCTGGCGAAGAGCAGGCTCATAAGAAAATTGACACGCTAGGGTATTTAACCGTTGGATTCTGATTGGAATTCCCGGATGTGCAGTTGGACCTCGTTTCAGAGCCCAAAAGAGCTGGCGATGATCCTAATCAGATGGCCATTACGAAAAGTGCTGGCAATATCCTAATAAGAAGGTCATTACGAGTCCAAGTTGGAATATCGAGTTCAGTGAACTGGTTTCTCGTCTACTGGGGAGATGGATAAATGCAGTCCAATTGCCGAAAAGTGTGGCGGTGGCAAAAGCTTGCTGTTCTTCGCGGCGCAGCGCCCGAGGAGGGGGGACAACTTTCTAATCTTTCTCCCGCCCGAATTGCACTTTCCCGCCATTCGCATAGATTTTGGGCGGTAAAACCAAACTGCGCCAGCCCAAACGCCTAATTCGCGCCACTTTGTGCTTCTCCATTCTTTCCCCCATGCTCATTTCATTTATATACGCTCCTCCAATGACACACACTGGGAGCCGCTCTCCCACTAAGAGCGCTCTCTCTCTCTCTCTCTGTCTTTCTCTTTGTCGTGCACACACGCACACCGAGAAGCGTGCTCTTCCGTTCTATTCCAATCAGAACACCAGCGAGTCGGCCTTTTTCCCCTACGTCTTTCACCATTCTCCAGCTTGAATATGTGTGTGTGTGTGCGAGCTGCAGCAACAACAAACAAAAACCTTTTGGGCAGCGCTGCCACTGTTGACTGCGGCAGATCTGTCGCTGCCGCAGCGACGGCGGGAAAAGTTCAACGCAAAACTTGGAACCTTCTGAAAACTTGACGAAGACGGCGAAGAAGCAGCGATCAAAGCGGGCAGAGAAACAGAATTATGTCAAAAGTGGCGCAAAAAACGTTGGTAGTAACTCTATGTACATACTTATGAGGTGGGAGCGAGATAGAGCGGGGCAGAGTCAAGAATGGAGTTCATTGATATTTCTCTGTGCTTTGCTTTGCTGTTGCTTCTCCTTCGCCCACTCCCTCTTTGCCACCGCCTCTTGTCAGCTCTTCTTCTACTTCCATTTACCTGCTACAATTTCTTTAGTTGTTGTCTTTTTTTTTCGCCGCTTCTACTTTCTACTCGTTTTTTGTGTTTTTTTTGCGCGCTTTTTCGCATTCTTTTTGGCAAGCTTTTTTGCGTCTTTGCTTTTTGCGCCGCTAAAAACTTGTTGAATGTGTAGAGGGGCGGATTGCGGGGGTGGGTGGCAAATTGTTGATGGGGTTGGTTTTTGTATATTTAATTGTTTTGTGTTTCGTGTTGGATTATGTCATGATTGCCGAAATTTGGCTTTTAATTAGCCTTTGAAAAGATCTTGCCCACCGAAAGATATGAACATACATTGTGAAAACTATATAAAGTTATTATTTTATGAAATAATAAAATAAGTTAAGATACATGAAGGTCAATGAATGGTCGTTGCTTACATATGTACAGAAAATGTTAGATATATGTATTTGATTTCAGAGAAAACAAAATCCGAGCAAAGCTAACCAAAATCTTCCAGCATCGGTATGTGAATTTTGTTTTTGTAACTCGTTTCA